GCTCGTTATGCTGATATAGTCTCTTTTGCATCACCAATTGCAATTGATGACGTTCCTGCCACTTTTAATGAAGCAGTTCAAAGTTCAAAATATAAAAAGTGGAGGATCGCCATGAATGAAGAAATGCAATCCCTTCAAAAGAATCAGACGTGGAAACTAGCTAGCCTTCCGAAGGGAAAGAAGGTAATTGGGTGCAAGTGGGTATATGCAAAGAAAGATGGATTTCCTGACAAGAATAACATCCGCTACAAAGCAAGATTGGTGGCTAAAGGCTACGCTCAAACGGAGGGAGTTGATTATAATGAAGTATTTTCTCCAGTTGTAAAACATTCATCCATCAGAATTTTGTTGGCTTTGGTAGCGCAGTTGGATTTGGAACTAGTTCAGATGGATGTAAAAACTGCATTTTTACATGGAGACTTGGATGAGGAAATCTACATGACTCAGCCAGATGGATTCAAAGTTGCTGAAAAAGAAGAGATGGTGTGTAAATTAGAAAAATCGTTGTACGGATTGAAGCAATCTCCAAGGCACTGGTACAAGCGATTTGACAAGTTTATGATAGGGCAGAAGTACACAAGAAGCAAATATGATCATTGTGTGTATTTACGCGAGCTAGAAGATGGATCCTATATATATCTTCTTCTTTATGTTGATGATATGTTGATAGCTTCCAGGAGTCAGACATAAATTGCGAAACTAAAGACTCAATTGAACAGAGAGTTTGAGATGAAGGATCTTGGTGAAGCGAAGAAGATTCTAGGCATGGAGATATCAAGGGATAAGAAATTGGGGAGGCTTTGTTTGTCTCAGAAAGAATATCTGAGGAAGGTACTAAAACGTTTTGGCATAAATGAGATGTCAAAACCAGTTAGTACACCTCTTGCTCCTCATTTCAAGCTCGGTGCATCAATGTCACCTAAGGATGATGCAGAACGGGAATACATGTCAAAGGTTCCATATGCAAGTGCTGTTGGTAGCTTGATGTATGCAATGGTGTGTACGAGACCCGATATTTCACAGGCAGTTGGGGTTGTGAGCAGGTATATGCATGATCCTGGAAAGGAGCATTGGCAAGCTGTGAAATGGATTCTGCGGTATATTCTGAACACCGTAGATGTTGGTTTGGTCTTTCAGCAGGACAAACAAGACGGTCAGTGTGTAGTTGGGTATTGTGATTCAGACTATGCAGGTGATTTGGACAAGCGTCGATCAACTACTGGTTATGTGTTTACATTTGCAAAGGCACCAATCAGTTGGAAGTCCACCTTACAGTCAATAGTGGCTTTGTCTACTACAGAGGCAGAGTATATGGCAGTTACAGAGGCTGTGAATGAGGCAATTTGGCTTCAAGGGTTGCTTGGTGAATTGGGAATGGAACAAAAGCACATCAAAGTGCACTGTGACAGTCAGAGTGCTATTCATTTAGCAAAGAACCAGGTTTACCATGCAAGGACGAATCACATCGATGTTCGATATCACTTTGTACGAGAGATTCTAGAAGAAGGTGGAGTCATAATCCAGAAGATTCAGACCACTGAGAATCCTGCTGATATGTTGACAAAAGTGGTAACTGCGATCAAGTTTAAACATTGTTTAGACTTGGTCAATATTGTTACAAATTAAAAGATTTTTTTTTAGAGATGTGTGTGAAATTTGCCAAGGTGGAGATTTGTTGGTTTTTGGCAAAGTCCCACATTGGTTGTGTATAAGGAGGAGGGGAAATTCTTTTGTTATAAATAAAGTCAACCTCCTCCTTAGTTAATCATCCCACAAATATAAGCTTTCTTCTATATTAAAGGCTATTTGTATTCTTTCTCTCTTTGTAATATTTCCTCTATTAGTGAAATATTTTGGTGTTCTCTTTTATGTCTATTTAATAGCTATTGTCGGGTATAGTTGTTGTTAATTATTGTCCTATTAGTACAATCGTTTTCACACTAGTCACCTAGATAATAGTTTCGAAGGTGAATCTGTTATTGGTGGAAATTAACCTGAATTCCACACCACTTTACCCTAAATCTTTCAATTTTGGTGAAGACCAAAAAAGTCGATCTGCTCGACTAAATTTAGTACCTTCCCTAACTTGATTTGATAATAAAAAATTTAAAATCATGAAATCCGAATTTGAAAGGATAATAATACATCATCTTGAATCGATGCTTTCATTAATTATTGTTTGCAATATTAACTTTTAGATATTGGTTCAAATTATGGTTTTGATTGATAAAGTGTAATTATAATATAATTTTATGTTGTGCTTAATGATATCAACTATGATTATATAGTTACATAAATTTAAAATGAATAAATTAAAATGCATGTATAATTATATGAACTCTCAACTTTTCCTTAAAAGTTGCAAAGTATAATAGATAATTTACAATTACATTTAATTTAATAAGATTTACATATATTAATTACATTTAAATTGGAAGCCACGGCACGCCTGAGCCGATAAGTTGGCCTTAGATTTTAAAGCTGATGTAAATAACAATACCATTACTGCAGTCTGAAGGCAAAGAAAAGCAGCTCCTTCCGTGCACACCACTCGCCATCCACTTTTATTTCTTTTTATACCATACATTGGCTTAACTTTGGACCCGGTGATTGATGGTCATAAATTTTGCATAAAATTCAGACCAGGAAAGTCGTCGCTCTTCCCATTTGTCAACGTCATTGCTCTTCAGAATCTCATACACTCACCACTTCCGTTTACTTTTTTCAAGAGTCATAAATGCATTCGTTATAATCAAACAGATCTTAAAACTCCACCTTGGGTTGTTTTTTGACCAGACAATGGATATGTTTCCGGTAATGATGATGGTGACTCTTGCCTTTCTCACAGCCACTTCAGTTTGTCAACACAAATTAACAGCCAAAGCAGAGTCCCACAACGTTAGCAATGGATTGACGCTTCAGATGGTGAGGGATTCATTGACGAGGCAAGAGGACACCATTGTTTTCTGTCTGATAGAAAGAGCCGGGTTCCCTTTCAATTCTCCGACATACCGCCCTTTGATTCCCGGGTTAAGCGGCTCTTTCATCGAGTTCTTTGTTAAACAAATGGAGGCCATCCAAGCTACGGTACACTCTTTTTCTTTGTTACTTTATCTCCACTGTGCTTGGTCTTAAAATTTGCCAAGTGTGAATGAGTTGCAGGCTGGAAGATATGAGAATCCTGAAGAGCATCCATTCTTCCCAGATAATCTACCACCCTCACTGATGCCACATTATAAGTACCCATAGGTATGCTTTAGTCTCCCCAAGCTGGCTAACTTACCTGTGTTTCTCTTCTGGGTTTTCCGTAAATTGGAGTCCGATTTGATCATAATCTGAACTAATAACTTCAACGCAACAGGTTTTGCATCCAGCAGCAATGTCTATTAACGTAAATAAGGTCATATGGGATATGTATTTGAACAAACTGCTTCCATTGTTTGTCATTCCGGGTGAAGACGGAAACTATGCTTCGACTGCCGCTTGTGATCTCGAGTGTTTACAGGTATTTTACTACCTCTTGTAAACACCTTGTATGTCTATATGATATGATATGTAGTTAGAAAATAGGCTCTAAAGTACATTGCTAATCCCTCCAGGCGCTCTCTAGAAGAGTACACTATGGGAAACTTGTAGCTGAAGATAAATTCAGAGACGAACAGAAAGAATACGAGCCACCAATTCGAGCTCAGGTACTTTAATTTCATTTTGCTCCTATGATGCATAGTAACTGTGAAGTTAGTACTATGTTATTGACAAGGGACGTTGATGCGGGTATTTCAGGATAGAGATGCTCTGGCATCTTTATTGACGTTTGCGGATGTTGAAGAAGCAGTAAAGAAGAGGGTGGCGAAGAAGGCGATGACATTTGGTCAGGAAGTGAAGCTTGGTGATGGTGGAAACAAGGGAAAGTACAAGGTTGATCCAGCTGTTGCTTCGGGTCTCTATGGAGATTGGTTGATTCCCCTAACAAAAGAAGTTGAAATCGAGTACCTCCTCCGTCGCCTTGACTAAAACCTTTGCCCAATCTGTTCTCGATATTTCCTTTCGAATAAGATCATTCATGTATCAAAACTGCTTCGTGAGATGAATAGACATTTAAAGCCATTAACTTTATCCCAAAGGAACACAACATGCAGGCACTTTCATGAACAAAATACACATTAAATACACTTGTGACACCTGAATAATATAAATTCTGATAAGAGTAATGAAAATAAGGCCATTAACATATGTGCATCTCATGTCAGATTCAATGAAATGAGACCAGTAGGGAACTTTATACCTGAGTAACAATGATCATTTGCAAATAAGAACGTTAGTGATCTTGATGATAAATCCCATCCATGATAACTGTACTTTATGATCTTTCATATACCTGAGTAAGAGATTTCCAGTCATTGTCTGCAGATACTGTATGTACATACCGATTATCTGATATCCAAATGTCCGCATGGACAACGCCTGGGGTTGCTCGTGATCTTTCATGTACTTAATGAAGCCCACCATTTATCAAGTAATAAAGTAACGCTCTCGACATTTGCTCTTCTTGAAGCAAGGCAGGAGTGCTCTCTGGTGTAGTCGGGATACACTCTAGAGTGCTGTATCAACCGATTTGATAAAGGAATGGGAAAATATGATCAAAACAAAAGAATTTTGGATCTGGATCCACAAGACAATACCTGATATCGTCGATCAGCAGCATTTTCCAGGGCCGAAACAATCCATATCATCTTTCAAATTTCAGTAAGCTTACTTTTTTCATATTCAGTCGATCAAATTTTCTTTTCAGTGTTATAAAAAGAAAAAAAAAGTGGAAGCTTTCTGCAAGTGCGTTGAAATGCAAGAGAAGGGAAATTTCATGGATACCAAACTTTCGCACGTTTTCTTGCATTTTCAGGGAAGCCTAACATTTTTTTATGAATCAAGTATTTCGTGGTTAAGTTTTACCATGTAAATCTTCTTTTGTGTGTGTGTGTGTGTGTATCACAAGGAATCATAAGTTACCAAGTTTAAAGGAAATGTAATCCTCCGATTAACTACATGAAAGTTAATACAAGGATGATCGTACAGTTGGATAAGATGTTAAAAACGAAAGCACAAAACATAAAAATAAAACTGATTACAAATTTTATGCAGCTGATCCCATTTTAGAATGCTTCCCTTATGGTAAGAACCTTCATCATCAACTGCAACAAAATCCTACAACTTTTTACACTAAAAATATTTTGAATCTTCCCTTAGGATATAGAGTGCCTCCTGTTCCTGGAAGATGAACCCGAAGACTTGGTATCCCCTGGAACCATTGAAGTTGGGCTTTGTGAACTTGTAGATGTCTCAGAACTTCTGTTTTCCACATGCCCTTTACCGAATCCCCACAATTTGTCGAATATTTTTCTTGATCGAGATGGCAGCAGCTGCACATCGCTGTTACTGTTTTTGCTATTACTTTTGGCCAACTTACCATTTTTTTGGAATTCGTCCCTGGTTATCTTAACCTGACTCATCTGTTGATCGAGGGATTTGCAAACTTCAGCTGCAGTCTTCTCCGATTCTTCATCGGTGTTGGTCGTGGAATGGGATGCACCACAAGGATTGTTGTTAAGTGATTGAGCTCCAGCTGTAGTAGCCCTAACCTGCTCAAAGAAGAGAACTTGTACTACAACTCGAAGTGGAAGTCTCTCATTCTGTGCAGCATGAATAGATGCATCCATTGTCAATTTCTTGACATCCATCAAGCCACACAAATTCTTTCTTTCGTCCTTCGTCAAGCTTGGATGCTTCTGCAGGCAACATAACTTATTATTTTAACACTGTCCGACTGCATTCATGAAACAGTTTCAGGTTCTCATTATACAAGTGGCACGCATTGTGTAAGAAAACAGTTAGGATTACAAAGTTGGATCAAAAGCTAAAAATGCAGTTAGGATTACGAAGTCATAACATTGGAGATTTTCCGTAAGATGCAGATGCAGATGCAGATGCTCTAATGGTTCATAGATGCTGTCACAGCTGCAGTACAAATAAACCCATGCAATGATTGACGGAAGAGAGGCCTAGAAGTACATTCTAAATATTCACAAACACGAACTTTGTTTAGCATCAGAAAATATACTGAAATCATTTATGCATATGATTGGATATATAATTCTTGAACTTGAAAAGATAGGTGAAATCGGCACATAGTTGAAAAGCCTACCTTTAGGTACATGTCAATGGCTTTATAGAGTCCGTCATGAATTGGTCTAGCAAACTCGGGTATAGACCGAGACAAGTCAATGAAAACGGCAAGGGAAAGGTTTGGGTCACATGCAATTTCTTCAAGATACTCATCAATCAATTTACCAACACTCAACAAGGATCCATGCCCTAGAACAAAATCGGTACATCCTGTCTCATTCTTTGCAACATATAAATCTTGAATATGCATCATATACTGATTTGCAATAGATAGAAAAATTTCAACATCATATAATGTAGTTTGTGGAGGCCGTGCCGGGATTAATAAATCCTTGACAGAAGCTTCATGCAACTTTAAGCTTATCCTATTCAATAGATCTTCCTTTGAGGAATCATCCACCCCAACCAGGATGGCAACTTTCAACAGCTTCAACAAGAAACTACATGAACAGCCAACACTCTTATCCGAAGGCAATAAACACACAACTGTTTCCACAAGTAATTTGTTCCTCCACGAGTGTACATCAGAAACCAAGGCATCGACAGAATCTGGCAACCATCTAACAGCGAAAGTTTTCAGAGCCTCACCAATAGCCACACCATCCATTCTTCCCTTTGATTTCACGGCAGTCAGGACTCGCTTGTAGAGATCAATGTCTAGCTCACATATATCTTCAATCCACCAATCATTCGGAACAGATACAATCTTCTCTCTAAATTTCATACCCTCTGTAGCAACTTTGCCACACGCTGACAGCTTCCTGTTATAAGTGTAGGACCATGTAACGTTTGCTGGATCCACTGAGGTTTTAGATGCTATGGAATCAATGCATCTTCCAACGATCTTCAGGTTTTCGGACCATGGTAGAACAGATTTGGTGGTTTGTAGAACAATAATGGAATCTTTCCAGCTACGGAATATGCTAGAATTAAGAAATACTTCGATTTTAAAAATCAGATTACCTCGATCAACATCCTCAGTCATCCCTAAGTATTCAGCAGCACAACGTGCAGCCACGACACTGTAAGCATTTAAAGTAACGGTCATCCCATAGCAGAATTTAGCACAAATTTCAAATGCCTTTGGCCCACCCGGAAAATCAACCATATTAATCCCATCACAGCATTCCTCACTGGCTTTCAGCACTAGTTCTTGCAAGTGACGGCTCTTAGACAGCAGAGGGAACTGCAAAGCAACATAAAAATGGCCTTTGTAATTGACAATTATAATTAAGCAGCTGCTCTCCACGGGCAGAATTCTAGAAATTCATAAGTTTAGAAGGAATTGAGCATACCTTGTGAAGGTAGAATTTAACTTCACCAACATTAATGGTGACATCTGTTGGCAAATCAGATGTGACATGCCTGCGTCAACGGAAAGTTTATGTTAACTCCACAAAGAGGGGGGCGACTTAAACCTAAAGACATTTAGAGAACATCAAAAACTTACCTGTTCTTCCGAGAAGAAAAAAAGACATAAATGCACAGAAGCCACATTCATCATGAAGATAATGACCTTGGAGAATTAAAAAGAACAAACCGACTGCCGTATTTGCCTCGTGGGCTCTAGTTAAAAAATCAAAGGCTATTTTGCTCACTTGTCATATTATTTGTCAATGAACTTGAAAATTAAACTCTGAGAACTACATACCATCTTCTCAACCAGATTGGCGACTTTTAGGTGTAAGTCTTGCCTTTCTCAAACATGAATAAGGATAGAAACAAACAAGAAGCCTAGAAATGGCTTGAAAGCCTCAAAATCTCAGTTGTCAAGTAATTGCACTTTCATTAAAGATCAATTCAGGTTTATTAACTTTCGGTTGTTTACACATCTTTAGAAAAGGACTCTGGTGACAACTTTCTATAAATACATTAGTATCGCATAGTCTTGTCCACAAGTAAACAAATTAAAAAGCTTCAATGCTGCTGACATTTCATTTTATGATGCAACTACACATTAGACTAAGAGATCCGTATAAAGTTTCCATGCTAGAGCTCTCAGTCTACTTCAATTTCCATGTTTGAATCAGTTGTGTCATCTTAATCAGGTGTTATTAATCTGCTAGTCAAAGAATATAAGCGTCTCAGATCAATACATGGTTCGGGTAACACATCGATTTGGTTACGAGACTAGATTTCTCCTACTTATTACTATACCCTAGCAAGACAACAATGAAGTGATTCGGGTACAAGATCTGTTGTAAATGGAAGAGACTTTCAGGCATGTTATAATGGAGTAAAATCCAAGATCACTCCTAGTTGGGCGGAACATGCTAATTGATTACACGGGGAGAGATTCTTAACAACCATGATTAAAGGCATAAGTGCTCCCAATATGCATTTCCAGATATCTGGACCACAAACTCATGAAAAAGATGACAGGTTCAACAGCTGGACCACCTCCAAGATACCCCGTGCCTCTTCTTTTTTTCGTTTTCAATGTTCAATCCCCGCCCCCAAATAAAAAGCAAACAATAGAAGAGTAATAATTGCAGTGAAACCACCCATGTGGTTAATCTATCACCAAGACAAAAGCCAAAAGAAATTACTTGTTAAAGTTGTGACTTTTCCAATGGAATGATTAACCACTTAAAAGTTCTCTTTTTTCCTTAGGAGACTAGAGCTAAGCACGCATCTCAGAAAACCATAGGGACTAAAATGCACAATACAAGATAGGGGAAAACACCAAAACCAATAGTTAAATATGTCGGGAACAAACAGCACAATGGAAAACAAAATGCGTGGCAAAACAAGACCAAATCAAAGGAAGGATAGCAGAAAGCTAAAGAACAATTTAGTTGTAAAAGAAGAGAATGTGAGTAAAACCCATCGTACCGGACACATCTGCCATCAGCTTGGAAGGCGTCAGGCTTCGAGCCAAGCTTCATAAACTTCATGTTTATTGTTTTTCTCGAGAACACCTTTACAGATTATGAGAAACAAAAGGAAAATCCTTTTAAAAAAAAAAAAACTCAAGAAGCTCTGTTTAAATTCCTTGTGGCTGTGATGCTATTACCCATATACCAAAGATAAAGTTTCCTTCTTTCTCTGTCCATGTCTCTATTAGCTGAATAAAACCAAACCAAGTACCAGAGGCAAAGGAATGGCCCCTTTTTTCAAAGGAAAATATGTGCCTTCGATAAGAAGGGAAAAAAACTTCTTTAATATGCTTACAATTCTGAAGAAAGCAAGCACAATCAATGCCAACAAGCCAAAGGAGAGAGTTTAATGAATAATGGACTGAGACAAGAAGCGAAACATCAGCAGTCCCAGCTTCCTCATCGTCCTCCACACGTTTCTCATCCCATTTCTCGTTATGATGACACCGGCGAAGCTTAATATCTTTAATAACCAAACAAAATTCAGTAACAACAACTAATACCCAGAAATATATTTAAAAAAGATACCAAAGTCCCAGAAAATAACAAATCAAAGGGTGGCGACAGAGAGATGATGATGGGAAATTTATGAAGAGGAAGCAAGCAAGCAAGGGAACTAGAAAAAAGTCTAAAAAGGAAGGCCAACACTAACGGGTGGTCATGTGTGTGAATGATGGGGGAGTTGATATCCACTTAGTTATTCGAGATCGATTTAGTTAAAATTTAATCAACACTCAAATCGAATAAATTCGACTCGAATTCTTAATGATTTAAAACAAACTACTTAATAATCGATTCGAAAAATTTGCAAGCTACTCGAAAAAAATGTTATATTATAATTTTAGATTTTTTAAAATTACATTATTAAAAATATATTAAAAATATTATTGATAATTATAAAATTTTAAAAAAATACATTTTTAAATGTAATATAAGATTTTTGTAGATTTAAATTCGAGTTCGACCTTGAATTGAGCTTAAAATCGAGCTTCAATCGAGCTTGAGTTTCGAGCTTCAATCAAGCTCCTGAATTTTTTTTGAGTTTGAAACTTTTAGAGTTCAAGTCGAGTTTCAATATTATATTTCGAGTTAAAGTTAAACTTAATAATTTTTAGCTAGCGAATTTTCGAGTCGAGTTGAATCTAATTTTAAATTTTTCGAGTTCGAGTCGAGCTTGTTTACCGCCCTAATCATATCATATAATTTTATTATATGACAGACTTAATATATAATTAAGAAAATTATTAAAAATATTAATATTAATTTAATATTTTCGATAAAACATTATTTAAAACGTTATTTTTTTATCAGTAAAAATTATCAAAGCCCCCCGTCTGCTTACTCTTACGCGCTTCATTTTTCCGCGCGTGTTTTGCTTTTTTAATCATTTGACACGTAGCTTTGTCTTTTTGACTTTTTTACCCCCAGTTTTTTCTTTTCTTTTCTTTTTATATTTTTTACGCTTTCGGGTCGGGGATTCCTATGAATATGGTGGTTCCTTGTCAGGCAATCAGAAGTTAACACGTTTCACGATTTTTGTCTGTAGAACACGTGGTAGTTTCTAAATGGATATTTCGATATCTTGCTATCCTCTCCTGTCTTTCCACTTGTAAAAGAAGTGAAGGAAAAGTTTTACCGACGAGTTTAAGTCTAAGGAAAAACAACTCTTTATAATATTTTTTGGTGTAATTTAAAATGTTAATATTATTTGGTTAAAAATATTCTTTACAATATTTTAGATTGATAATCTAAAATATTATCTTATACATAATGTTTCAGTTCAACATAAAATATTAAAAAAAAATAATATTTTAAGTTACCCTCGATCAAAAATATTATAATTTTTATAACATTTTCGGTTGCGTTAATTTTCTGTGGTTCGATGGCCTTAAATATTCATTAAACAAACGTAAACAAAATGTATAATTTAATATTGGACCATTTTGTTGGAGCTATATAGTGCAATGTTAGTAAGAACTCACCCACACTAGCCAACAAAAGTTGAATACTGTGTAGAGGGTTCCTTAATTTGTTTTAAGTGAGTACCTGATATAGATTAGTAAAACTTTTTAAAATATAATTTCATTGTTGTTTTAACTTAAAATTATATACATATAAATTGAATGAGACCAAATTAAAATCTATTACTATTTTTATTGTCTTAATTAAAAAAACTGAAATTTAAATAAATTAAATAGGATATTTTACTATTTAGAGGGATAATAACTCCTAGGATGAAACCAAATGAAATTTAGGGGTCACGCATAAGTAATAATGAAATGAGGGTCTGTATATTTGTTAAGTCATTAATTTCAAGGGTAAATTACATTGAATTTTATTCTCTCTCTTATTTTACTTATCGTACCTTCAATTTTTTTAATTTGTTCACTAACTTTATAAATTGAATCATTTTGTTCACTTTATTGTTAACTTTTTAATATTGTGATGATGTGTCATTTTATTATTATTATTTAATATAAAATAATTGAAAATATAAAGGATATATTACATCATTCCTCATTGAACTTTACTCTCTTTCTTATTTTGCTCACCCAACTATTAAATAAAAATAGAAAATGGTCAGATGCCACCGTCGACCGCAATAGATGGTGGTCGTTCGGTCCCAAATTTCATGGGTCGCTTCGCCTCTACACCTTGAGTCTAAATCCAACCTCTATTTTATCAGAACTTGCTCTAAAGTCCACGAATTGGAGATTGAAAGTGAAGAAGCCGAAACATTTTAATCAAAATTTACGGATTTTGGGACGTTTTCCAGTGAAACAACCACTAGATTCAGACTCAGTGGATCGAGACTGTAACACCTCAACCCGTACCCGACCCGAATACGAGTCCGAGGTGTCACATTAACTTTTCTCATCACTTGTTCTTTCTTTTCTGTCACATACCACATGTATGTGTAATCATGTATTTCATATCATATCACATGTATCATGTATTGCATATTCATATATCATTTCATATATTCACATGACTTATTTCATTTCACATTGATCATGTCTCATAGCATATATCACATATGCATATAATCATGTATATCATATCATATATCTTATGTTTCATGCTTTTATGTCTATGCATATCATATAACATATATAATAACCTATACCCATTTCATGTATTCATGCATATATAAGAATCACAAATCAATTAACATTTTAAGAGTAACTTTTTACCATAGTAACTCCATCACTAGCTCATCGCAAGCCAATGTTCAATAATATAAGTACAATTAAAATTGCACTCACCTTAGCCTTGCTTTGATTCGATTATAATCCTTTGATTATTCCGGAACTTGTTTAGGCTCAATATCTACATAAATATAACATTTCAAAACAACTATCAGAAGCCTAAACCTTAAACTTGATGTTAACAACTTAAGCCAGATTATTGAACCCAATTTTATTTTTCCTTTAGGGGGAATCAATACCCCCCATGGGGGAATCGATACCCCCTGGACATACTGGAATTTTCTCGTTCTAGAAGGGGAATTGATTCCCCTTCATAGGGTATCGGTTCCCTATGCCCATAAATTGTATTTTAAGCCCGGAAATAATCAATTTTCACTTAATTCTTCTATTTTAAACCCCTATCATGTCATTAAACTCAACTACCATTACTTAAACCAACTTATATCCATGAAAATCATCTATAACTTCAAAATCCAATTCTTCATATGAAATTCAAGAATTATACTCAAATTTCAATATGTTCTAAATACAATTCTAACACTTCATATTCCTTAATTAGCATGATGACAAGTCAAATTTAACTTCAAATTCAACTTATCAACTCTTTTCCATGATTTCATATAAAAACTCGTTTTCTTAAATATCTTATAACTTCTTCATCTTTTGATTATAAGACAACTTCAGCTTTCCTTAAGCTTAGTTATCATCTAATGATCAAAACCTAACCTTTAATTTAACAAATAACCAACAAATCAGAAAACCCTTACCTTTGCCTAGCTTCCAGGGTTGGGAGAAGAAGGAAGGAAGAAGAAAGAGTTTTCAGATAACTCTTTCCCCCACTCCCACGTGATTCATTTATATTATTGGGGAAAAATATATTTCTTGCTAAATGACTATTTTGCCCTTTAATTCCTTTGATAATTACTAATAACTTTCAGGAAATATTTCTGAACAAATCATCGGACTATACAAATATCCTACTTAAATCACCAAACTCTGAAGTTTTATGATTTAGTCACTAACCCATATTTTAGGATGTTACAAATCTCTTCCCCTTAAGAAAATTTGTCCTCGAATTTTCATTGTACAAAGAGATGGGGATATTGAATCTTCATGTCCTCTTCACGTTCCCACGTCGCTTCTTCCACCTTGTGATTTCTCCACAGCACTTTGACTAATGGAATAGTCTTGTTCCTTAATTGCTTGACTTCGTGAGCCAATATTTGAACAGGTTCTTCCTCATAAGTCAAATCTGATTGAACCTCGATCTCTTTGGTAGTCACTATATGAGATGGATCGGATCGATATTTCCTAAGCATGGAGACATGAAAGACGTTGTGAATTTTCTCCATTTCAGGTGGCAAAGCTAATTGATATGCCAGTGGTCCTACTCTCTTAACGATTTCATATGGTCCAATAAACCGAGGACTCAATTTTCCTTTACGTCCAAATCTTAATACTTTCTTTCACGGAGTCATTTTCAAGAACATTTTATCTCCGATTTGAAACTCAATTTCTTTCCTTTTTAAATCAGCATATGATTTCTGTCTATCAGCTGCAGCTTTCAGATTATTCTGAATTACTTGGACTTTCTCTTCCATTTCCTGAATCAACTCAGGACCAATAACTTCTCTATCCTTAAGTTCATACCAATTCAAGGGTGTACGACATCTTCTCCCATATAAAGCTTCATAGGGAGCCATTTTGATGCTTGACTGATAACTATTGTTGTATGCAAATTCAGCAAGTGGCAAATATTTTTCCCACGATCCTTTAAATTCAATAACACAAGCTCTTAACATATCCTACAGAATTTGGATAGTTCGCTCAGACTGACCATCTGTCTGAGGATGAAACGATGTGCTAAAATTCAGTCTTGTGCCCAATGATCCATGTAAAGACTTCCAAAATCGTGACGTGAATCTAGGATCCCGATCAGAAACTATGGAAACAGGTACACCATGTAACCGTATAATCTCTCTGATATACAACTCAGCATATTTATCCATAGAGAAATCAGTTCGTACCGGAATAAAATGAGCTGACTTAGTCAACCTGTCTACAATCACCCATATTGAATCTCTTTTGTTCGGAGTTAAAGGAAACCCCGTCACAAAATCCATTGTTACATTCTCTCATTTCCATTGAGGAATTGAAATTGATTGTAACAGTCCCGACGGAACCTGATGCTCAGCTTTAACTTGCTGACAAATCAAACATTTTGATACAAATTCCGTAATGTATTTCTTCATTCCCGGCCACCAATATCGACTCTTGAGATCCATATACATTTTGTTTCCTCCTGGATGCATCGTTAATGGACTACAGTGAGCTTCCATTAATAAATCATTCTTTAATTCATTAACATCTGGAATCACTAGCCTCCCTTGATAATAT